CTATGAACTTTCTCTGTTGTGGTTTCAGGTGCTGCACCGACTGGCTGTGGTTTGTAGAAGGAGCCAGCATTTATTTTTTTTTTTTTGTATGACTTTTCAAAATCTAAGTACAGAGCAGAGAGACAGAACAAAAAAAAATCTGTGCAGGTCTGTCCACCCTCAGTGTGACATTGGGAAAAATCTAATCAGAGATTTAAAAAGTCGTATGCAGTCGGTGTTTTCTGGCCTTAACAGAGTTTTTTAAGTGGCAAAGATGCCCCAGTATCCAGTCTGTTAGAATTATTTTTACTGTTTGTGTACTGTATGCCAGTTAAACCCTAATTATGATCGCCTTATGCACGTTAAGGCTCATGTCTCCCAAGCAGTTTATCCAATTAAGACACAATTTGGAAATTAAATGAGAGTTTTCAGACAGAGTTGATGACTCTTAACAGTGAGCAGTCTTTCTTGGGGCATTCAGAATGGCCTCAATCTAAAAACACAGTGTCATATTTTGGTATGTTTGGACTGAGGGAAGTCTCTTCATCTTACAAACATGTGTTTGATGTAATGGTGTGATAATGGGGAAGGCAGGCTGTCTGCATAAAATGATTCTTTACCTGTGACTCGGAGCTGCTGCTGATTCTCTGATGAAGCAAGTACGATGTTACCATAGCATCTGTCCAGCCTCCCCGGTCTGAGTAAGATTACAATTCTGTAAAAGCTGTTGCCTTGTTTTCTAACTATTTAATGCATACAGCTTATAAAGTGATATTTGTTTATTACCCAGATAAATATGTCTTAAAGCATGCCTCCTGCATTTATTATGAAGGAAATGAGGCTAATTGCATTATGTTCATTATCTTTTTTGTCCCCTACAGAACCCCAAAAGCCACATGAGGTGGAAGCTCTGGCCATCCAACATCTCTTTAACCAGGGGAGGAGGTCCCGTCAGGACCAGGAGGAATTAGTCCCTCAGTGGACTGAGGAGGATCAGATGGAACCAGAAAATTCATCTCCTATTAAAGAACTGGGGGAACCGGGGCCTCCGTGGATTAAAGAGGAAGATGATCCAGAGCTGCCACTGATCAAAGAAGAAAATGAGGAACCTGAGACTAAATGGGCTGCAGAGGAACAGAAGGAACCAGGTTTGCAACTGATGGAAAAACGGAATGAACCAGAACCTCATTGGAATAGAAAGGAAAAGGAGAAAGCAGAATCTCCACTTTTTGAACTTAAGAGGAAACCAGATTGTTCACTGCAGAAACATGAAGTGTGTCTACTAGAGCATTCAGCACCTAGACAGGACCAGGAGGAAAAGCAGCCTGTCCAGAAGCAGTCCGTCACTTTTATGGAGACCTTTACTTTTCAGGAAGTGGATCTGAGTGAAAGCGAACCAAGAATTGATCAGCTCCTCTTTCATATCGCTCCTGTAGTTGAGACTAGAGATCAGAAAGAAAGTAGCTCCACTATGTCACAGAGTCGGTTTCAAAATTACACAAAAAGAGGGTCTCTGAACTGTGACATTTGTGGAAGATCCTTTAAGAGAAGGTATAACATGAAAAGGCATTACACCTCCCACACAGGTGAGAAACCTTTTTTATGTCAGACATGTGGAAAAGGTTTCTCTACAATGGGTAGTTTAGAATATCACATCAGGACACACACAGGGGAGAGACCTTTTCCATGTCAAATATGCAAGAAAGGTTTCTCTTCGATGAGTAATTTAAAGGATCACATCAGGACTCACACAGGCGAGCGACCTTTTTCTTGTGGGACATGTGGAAAACGTTTCTCTAAAGTTTATAATTTAAATGTTCACATTAAAACCCACAAAGGTTAGAAGTCTTTTTCAAGTAAATTATGCAGAAAAGATTTCCTTCCGATTGATGATTTAAATGATACCATTGTAACTAGGGCTTTTTTTTTCATTTTGCAAACATATTTATCTGTCGATTAAATTTTTTGATAAATCTATTAATAACCGGATAGCCAAAGGTTCCTTAAAGAACATATTTTACGAAAGTAAACCAGGTGAAACTAAAACTTTTCAACTTCAGTTCTTGTTAGAGCATATTGATACAGTGTTTCCCATTAATGAATGAGTTTGGGCTGCCACAGTCTGATATAGACACACAGAGAGAGAAAATAACACCAATAAAAAGATCCAAACAAACTGATGATTTTATTCCTTTTTTGAGAACATACTTCTCACTCACCTGTAGTTATGATGTCATGTGAGGTTTCATGTGATGCTGTGTGTTGCCAAACTGCAACCTGAGAGAAATACTGCAGCTACAGAAACTCTGGGGAGCCAAAAATGCGCTGTTAAAAAAAGTGATAAAATTTTTATTTCTTTTTAATGGTCCGAGGCTAAAGATTCAAATGCATTAATTTATTGGATTTTTTGCCATGGCCCAATTGGCACATTAAATTTCCATATGAAAGAAAAGCCAGAAATTAATAACGTATTTTTCTGACTATAAATTGCACTTTTTCACCGGGGGTGCAACCTGTACTTCAGATTAATGAAGATTATACCATATATATTGATTTACAGTAATAAAACAGTTCTATAAGACAAAAGAAAAGGGAAATGCAATGCATTATGGGCACTTTACTATGGTGGCCTGAGCTGAATAAAAAAAAAAAAAAACGCAATAAAAAATAACAATATAACTGATAACAATACAACAGATGTCAAAAAGTGCGCTCTTATAAATCTTTTTAATGCGAGGTGGTGCCTGCATGTTCCTGAGATTTATCAATGGTTTAAATTTCATCATAATGTGTATTTTGGCTGGTGTGAGAGAATTTGTAATGTGTTATCCATGTCATCCAGATCAACCCTTCCTTTTAAAAATCCATAACTGTGATGTGAACTGTATCCTCTGTCTTCAGGAAATGTCATCCATGATGATGATGATGATGATGATGATGAAATGTCAATAAATCCATAAAGTGTGGAAAGAAATCTCTTCATTCATTCTGAACTCCATTATTGAGGAGTTTTAGTTTGTTTTGGTTTTATTAGGGGAACACATAAAATCTTTAGTGGTAGAACTTGCTCTGCCCCAAATATCTTGGTAACAAATGTAAAGTTTCTAAACCCAATTTTCTTGTTTGTTTCACAAAGACAAATAAAAAACTTATTTTAACTTTAGATCTGTGCTCTAAGTTTGTCTTTTATTGATACTGACTTTGAAAATACAGCTGCTTTAACTACTGACCCCTGGCTCTAATTGTTTATTCTTTAAAATTTGTTTCTCTGTTGAAACTGGGATGAGTCATTAGTGTTACCTGGCAGCTGCAGCAGTCTGTGGGGCTCTTTGAAGGGATAAGTCTGTGTGAAAAATTATCAAGTTTTTACGGCAGAGCTCAAAATCTAAGGCTGATTCTGAATATTTCAAATTCCACATCCTGTTTGTACCCCTTATTACTTCAACATTCTCAGAGTCAACAGTAAGAACCCTATCTCTGGTGAGAAAAGAACTTTGAACTGAATCTGGACACCCTTTAGCTTTACTGAGTCAAAATCTGGGCTCCCTTTAATAAAGCTGGTTTAACAAACTCAGATTCCGAAATCCGCTACTCTAAACTAATCTAGCTTAGGGTCGGGAAGTCTTGAGTTTTCGGTTTCACAAGAGCTGTTATGAATTAGTTCAATCAACTCTAATAGGCTCCACTCAGAGTTAAGCGCATGTGTGACAAGTTTAAAAAGCCATCATCAGAGCCCTGATTTGACGAGTCACCATGGCAACAGAAGTGCCTATTTCACCCTACTCGAGCTGGAAATTTTATAATGAAGAAATAAAAAATGGAGAATGTGTTTAAAAGACAAAGCGCTACATCTACATAGGAGAGAAAGATGGCACAGGAGAAAACTGCTGCTCGAGTTAAGGTGTAGGTTTATATGAAGTGGTTTATGGCAGACCGTTTCTACATGTATTAAAAGCTCTCTGCTCTCTGTTATTCCATTTGTAGATCACTAAAATGAAATTCTTCCTCATGAAAACCACACTCCTAAACTGAAAAATCTTCTAAATTACATTTTTGCAGTAGAACCTGAATTTCATAAAGTAAAAAAAACAAATGATACTAGCAA